TATGATCCGGTTAGTCGACTATGGTATAGCCATCATTTATTAAGATGTTTGATGGAGAAAATAGACGAAAATAAGGAGAACTGCTATCATAGGATATTATATTGATTTAGAAAAAGGCTATGATAAAGTTCCAAAAGAGAAGTGCTATGGAGAGAGTTCTTGAAAAGTAAAGGAGTCAATAATGCTTATATTTCAAATCATTAAAGATATATGATGCAGGAGCTATTACTTGTGTTCAAACACAAGATGGATTGACCAATATTTCTTATTTCGTTGGGATTACATCAAGGAATCAGCCTTAAGCTTCATATCTTTTTGCTTTAGTCATGGATGTTCTTCACTAGGACATTTGCGAAGAGGATGTTGCCTTTGGTGAGTATGCTTATTTGCTGGAATTATTCTTCTTGTTTAATAAGAATAGAGAGTGGAGTTGCAGGTGTAAACTGAATTATGTATGAGGTACAACGCTTAGGATTCTTATGAAACTTTGTCGCTGAGATATGACTAAATATGCGGAATATAGGTGAAGTTTGTATATATAACATAGTGAGGGGATTGTGACCTTTGGGCGATCAAGTCATTAATAGGAGTACACGTATTAGATACTGGATTCTATTTTCAGGTGATGGTGAAATAGATGGGAATTATCTGTATAATTCAAGTTGGATGGTTGAAGTGGAGACATGCATCGGGGCTTGTTATGTATTAGAAATGTACCCCTCAAACTTAAGGCGAAAATTCTACAAGCATGGTAGTGAGGGCCTGCGAATGCTATGGTGTCGAATGTTTGGCCATTAAAAGAGAAGCATAATACTAAGTTAGGATTGTTGATAGAGATGAGGATGCTTAGGTCGATGAGTGGCTCTACCTTACGAGATAAGATACGAAATGAGCATATCGTGAAAAGGTGGCATGCTCCAGTAGAAGATAAGATTACAGGAGTCGCCTTAGATGGATTTGGTCACTAAAAACGGCGGCCGTTCCGATGACCCGGTTAGGAAGTAGAGATATTAGATTTGACTTATGTTAAAGGACAAGGTAGGGGTAACCTAAAAAGGCTTGGTTAGAAATATTAGGTTAGTAATGACCTTTCTTTATTAGATTTAAACGAGAATTTAACTTTTAACAGGACACAATGGAGAAAAAGGATTCATGTAGCCGACCCCACGTAGTGGGATAAAGGCTTGATGTTGTTGTTGTTGTTGTTGTTGTATGGAGACATGGTTTTCCATTAATTTATTTTTTAAATTTATGTTAGCTAATTTACTACGTTTAGTTTGAGCCCAAGTAAAAATGCTGAGATTAAAAGATAGGTAGCTTGTTTGTTTAAGAATGAATTTTCTAAGGAGAGTATGAGTTCTTGTGGTGTTCTCAAATTACTTACAGCTAAGATAGTAATTTGGATGACGTGTGCAGATGGTAGATCAACTAATAAAATTAATATTAAATATTAATTTTCTATGCCCAGGTTGGATGATGCATTATATTTGATTCTTAGAGAAGTGAATTTTTTGAAACTTAATATGAGTGGTTATCAAATTCTAGGAACAAGAGGTCAATGAAAAACTACTTCTAAAACTAGGGATATGTTATATGAAGGGTTGGTATTGATTTTGGGTTTATTAATATAGTGAGTAATTTTATGGGATTCACAAATCATATTCTTAGACCTTTCATTGATTTTTTGATTCTATACTTGATGATATTCTAAATGTCTAATCTTTAGTAAGTCTAGAGAGGATCATTTGGTGCATCATAGGAATTATTTGAAATCGTGCAAATTAAAAGGTTATATCTGAGTCTAAATAAGTGTAGTTCTGTTGCACAATCTGTTATACTCTTTGCATCTATTGTGTCAAATAATGGATAACATATTGATCTTGAAAATAATAAGCTAACCCTTGTTATAGACAATTCATATTCCTATATTCATGAGATACAAAGTTTTCATGTTCTGTCCACTTTCTATAAACGATTCATTAAGATATTTTGCATTTTAATGGCACTAAATATAAGTTGTCTTAAGAATGGAGAATTTTAATGGTCAAAATAAGTTGAGTATGTTTTTACGTATATTAAAGAGAGGCTTCCAATCACACATATATCCTAAACTGCCTAATTTTAAAGTTTTTGAAGTCTTTTGCGATACTTTAGGTGTATGTATTGAGTGTGTTTTAAGTTAAGTGGAAGATTTGACTTAATAGCATCTATTTGGTCGAGATGAAATTATAGCTATGAATGAGAATGTATGTTATTAGCCAAGCTTAAAAAGTGATGAACATTTGTTGCATTTTACAGAACTTGTAAAATGGCTAAAGGAGAAATGAAATAACATTGGTTTGTACATGATATTATCTATTTTTTATAAGCCAATGTGTCAGCATAACTATCTTTGTTATAATGGAATATTTTTTAGAATATGATTTATTTTATTCCATTTAATAAATTATTTATGCGTTTCATATAGCTAAATTATATTTCAATGTAGTGTTCTTATCTAGAACTATTGTGTTTAATAGATATATAAAATACATGTCTTATATTTATGTATTTTTTGCGAAAAAAGATGAAAAATCAAGTAAAGTTTTTAATTGCTCATCATCTACAAATTGGTGGACAAATTGAGGTAATTTAAAGGGGTTTCACTGATTTTTTTTTTTTTTTTTTTTGTTTAAAGAGTGTTCATCTGAATGATATTTAATATTATCTACAGTCGAGCTTGCTTGCATATGAAAGGTCAGTAAATCTACATTTATGAATCCGTTTGAAATAATAGATTTTCAGCAAAGAAAACCTGTAAATCTTATTAAATTTTATATTTATTCTAATTCTAGTGAATTTGCACAATACCTTTAACAGCATATGCATGATTTACATGGGCTGTTAGCATGTATTTTTCTGCTAATTATAACAATTATAAGCTTATTATTGATATAGACAAGGGTTGTGTAATTGCATGCTAATTATAACAATTGTAAGTCTACATTCTGTGAATATTTTTGTTTTCCTTTTGTACTTGACTGCTAGTTGAATGCAAAATTTTCAGTGACTTTGAGGCGGCAACTACACTCTCGAGGAAGTTATTTTTTTTTTATACTAGCTTGAAGCACGTATTACTATGTTGGTAATTTGTTTCCTGAATTCTATTCCATTCTATATTTTTGTTATTGGTCCACCCATTTACTTGGATTTGGTCGAAAGTCATTTAAGTTGGGTTTTTAATTGTTGCTTGTTTTCATTGATCTTGAGTTTTTATGCGATCATTAAATTATTACTTGAATGAATTTTTTGTCCGTCACACTCATAAAAAGTGAGAAATATTTGTATCAAGTATTGGTTTGTGAACTGTGAATTTTGATTTGTGTTTTCTGTACATTATATCTTATACATTAAAACATCTCGTATGTGTAGTTGGTTGGATTCAATAGTCTTACACTCTCATTTTTTGTAGGGATAGCAATATTTTAAATTCTCTATAAATGAATTTGTGAAAATGACCACATCATATGTGTGGCACTATTGCAACTGATTTTTAAAAGTTTGGCATTTCTGAAGGAGTGGACTTTATATTTATGTTTGATTGCAAGAATACTCTCCTTCGGCATTTATTATTGCTTGGATATACCTCATGAAAACTACCAGGAAATATTGTGTTTCTTTTAGAATGGGCTCAGTTCTAAATGAATCATCCCAATGATGGGCATAATGGTTGGAGAGGTGGAGGTTATGATGAAGTTTGATAGATTGCTGAGCAAGAACAAATGGAGGGCTAGTGTTTAGGAAAAGCTTTTTGAAACGAGAAGATGAGTTAGGTTGAGGTCGGTTGTAGATGGACTTGAGGTGGAGTTTCTTGGAGGTATGTTCAGAGCTTTAATCTCTAAGGTGGAGGGTTGGGTTGATATAATGGAGATTTTGTAGAAAGTTATGAAAGGCGAGGCTAGACTCTTTTTGGTAGGCTTTAGTGGGTAGGGCGAGAGGTAAAGGTTAAGAGTTAGGGTTTATGTGTGGGAAGAACTAAGAAGCATGAAGAATTGGGATTAAATAATTGATGATGGGGATCTCCTCATTAGAGAATTCAGCCTAGGTTGGGTGCCTAGCTGTTCAAGGAGAGAATCTGAAAATTTTATTGCAAGCATTAAAAATCATGAATTACACGGTCCAAGAACTCCTTTTGAAATAAGGATTCAATTCCTAACTTTCCAAATATAGTAATGCAAAATAAAAACACTTAATATCTAAAAATGTGTGCTGTCTACTCTAGCTCAATTTCTCTCTTGAATTAGTGAGAGAATTGTGGAGAAATCTTTGAATATTTGAGAAGCCTTTAACTGTGGAAGGAAGAAATCTTGAATCAAGCCTTGAATTGTGGATCACATCTCATCAACTTTATGAGGAAGGACCCAACTATATTTTTTGAATTGAGAGGTCGGCATAATGCTTTATCCACTTTCCCTTATTTTAAAATAAATAAAATATTTGATTACAATAATCTCGCAAGATAATGGTATCTTGTTTGTTTTTTTTATTACTGCTATGTGCATCACTCGAGGTTATCTTACATTAGGTAGTTATATAAATTGCTACTGTGCTTTTAATTTGTGTGTCAGTATAATTATTTTATGCCATTTCTCGCTTCTGAAACCTGCAGGGAACCATGCGAGACCTTTCAAAAAATCCATCTTCACTCATTCAAACTCGACTGCCTGAAGCAAAAGATTTGGTGAGCTGATTATTTATTACAAGTATAATTATTTTTTTGGTGAGCTGATTATTTAAAACTTTAAACATTGCTTCTAACTTGCGTTGAGCCAAATCATTGGTTGGTTGCAAATAGATAACAATAATTTTATTTTCACTCTTTTTTTAGCATGAAAATGAATTCATCTATTTTTAGAGAATTTTGTGGAAGGTTGTAAAGTTTTAAATGAATGTTTATGCGTAAGTAGTTACATCCAACAAAATAATAAATTTGGCCAATTTCATCATTTTTTCATAACATTATTATCTTTTGGCCATTAATAAGCCATTGTTATCTCTTGCTCTTATGCTTTAGAAATTTTTATTTTCTTATGAGATGCTTGGTACTAGTTTTTTCAACTTAAAAAATTTAAATGCTGCACATAAAATATAAAAGTTTTATTTTCTAATTATGCATTTTAATGCAAGAATGATGAATTGCTATCTTATTATTTGGAAATAAATTTTTTTTCTTCTTCCGTTTTTTAGAGTGATTCTCCAGGAGAAGCAGACATGCAGCCTCTTCCATTAGCTGCTAACGGTTATATATATATATATTCAAAATTTGATCCCAAAAATTTTGAAATTATTGTTATTCTTTAATGCTTTCCCAAATGTTAAAATCTTTTTCTTATAAGAGTTCTTTAACTTATTTCAATGGATAAATATTCATATGAAAGAACTCATATACAAGGGGAAATGATATTGTTTTTAAAAGAATTAAAAGAATATGAAATGGTAGGAATTTAATTGTTGCAATTAGTAATAAGTTCTAATTCAATATAATAATAATTTTTTTTACATTGGCTTGGCAAAACATTGCAAAATGTTAAAATGTATAATTAAAATATATTATATTATAAAATTGTTTAAAACTTAAGGAGATGAATATTTTTTCATTATATGTTATAAAATAGTTAAAATATAGAAATTATGTTCAAATTAAATATGCATTTGTAAGTCAATGTGAAAACTATTCATTCTATTATATTTGTCCTATTTTATATTCAGAAGTCAAAAGGATTTTTTTTTCTAGAAAATTAGAAGGTTATAATAATGTTGTTTTATGTATAAATTGGTTAAAATAGGCATCTTGAGATTTTGATAGTGATCATTATAAAACATAGGTGAAAATAATCAACTTAAATTATTCTTATTGTAATAAATTTTAATTTGGGCTTGTTTGGTTGAAAGTGGGATTTTACTCAATGAAGATCTAATAAATTATATAAAATTGAAATTAACAAATTTAATATTAATTTTAAATATTGAATTAATTTTTTAAAGTAATAATATCTGATTAATGGAATATTAATAAATTTAATTAATAATGGCGGGCATCAACATTGATGTCGAGAGCATGCATTGACATTTTTGGTAATGATTTTGGTCAACATTGTTTCATACAAACCACATTAACCATACTACCAATGCTTTGTCTGGAGATGGATAGCAACACCAAGCATCAATATTGTTGGTGATGGAAGGCAAATAAGTTAGCAGACATCGGCATTATTGTGTTGAAGATGATAGTGGATAGGAGATTATAGTCGATGATGATGGTCAGACAATGATGGTTGGTCAAATAAGAGCAAATTACCAGGCAATGCTGATTGCAAGATGTTTTACTTATTTTAGTTAATATCCTAAAATCTTCAACTATATTTTGAGTCATTGGATTATGACATTTGAATTAAGACTAAGGAAATTATATTATAAATGGAATATTTTGACTGTTGAAATCAGAGGTAAGTTAAATCCAAATGGATTTAGTGATCAAATTGAACAAATTATTATAATGAATTATTTTATACATATAATCATAAATAAATTTAAAAAAACAAAAAAAACTTATAGGCTTAGGTTGTGACCTTCCATATTATGATAAATTTAATTCTGTTTTCTTTGAGTCGAAAATTCATGCCTAAAATATGTCTAAAAAATTAATGTGCTATAAAACCAATAAATTATTGCTTGTTTAATTTGGTGTCTAATTATTGGTTGTTATTTTGCTTTTATTAGATTGAGAAAAAAATAAAACTTTATTAAGTCTCCTAAAAATTAAAAAGGTTTATTACTCATATTGCAGCACTAGGTTTAGAGAAATGGCAGAAATTTCAAGTGCATTGTAATAACTACTATATAAACAAGTCCATATGAAATGACCCAAATTAAACCTAGTGAATTTTTTTGTTTATTTTTGTATTCGTTAAATGATTGTGAAATTTTAAGTTAACCTACTCTTAATTAAGCCCAAATGAGTCTGTAGCCAAGTTAGAAAAGCGAGAAATGACAAGTGTAGAAAAGCTCCTTGAGAGCATTTTAGTGTTGTGGTGGCAGCTCTGCCCTCTTTGTTTAGGAGAAATTGGTTTTTTTTTTTTTTTTTTTAATAAAGGATGCAACTTGCATTAAAGAAAACATGAAAAAAAAATTACAGAAGGGTACTAAAGGAGCTCTATGACAGTCCTTCCTAAACCAAGTTTAAAAAACTTGTTGGAAGTTCTACTTCAACAAAAGAGTCCCAAAAAAAAATCGCCTAACAAAGCAAGTTCGGCACAATAATCTGCCATTTTATTACATTCTCTAGGAGCAAAGAGAAAATTGATATTATTGAATACTTGTAAGAATGCGAGATCCGATTTCATACCTTTATTGGTCTTCATGTTTATTGACTCTTGGAGCATCTTTATGATATTCACATTGTCTCCTTCAATGATTATTCCTTTGTATTCACAAAACCAATCTTGAATATAGTTTCCAAATGTAATAATTGCTTTGAGTTCCAGATAAGCAATGTCCCAATGTAGCATATTTTTTCCATAAGCACATATCATTCTACCTTTGCAATCTTTTAGCAGTCCTGCTATTCCAGCCATATTAGATTTAGACAGTGCCGCATCTACATTCAACTTTATCTAACCTTTGGGAGGGGGACACCAAGATTTGGGCAGCAAATGCTGGTTGGTGTTCCAGTTCTTCTTGATTGGAGCTGACTGAAAGTAAGATACATGAGAAATAATCTCTGCTGCTGTGTAAGCAATGGGAAGCTCTGATTTTCCATGTTTTCCCAGGTTCTGTGATCTCCAACTGAAGTAAACTGTCATAGCATAAATTTTTGCAAGGCCACTGTCAGCTTTATGCTTAAGCTCTTCAATACAATCATTGAGATTTTGAAAAGATGGGACATTAAAATCCCCATAGTCTCAATTTTTGTATTATTTCAATCAGTCTGCTACACTTCATGGTAACATGTTCTATGTCTTCAATAACTTGACATCCTCTAGGACAAACAGAAGTGCTTGCTAGTCTTCTATGACATAACCAGTCATTAGTTGGCAATGCATTAGTCAACGCTCTCCACCAGAAAAGAGAAGCTCTTTGGTTCAGTTTAAGTTTTTTTATCCAAGTATACTTGCTGAAATTACTGTTAAGATTTCTATTGTTAGCTTCAGAACATAAGGATGAAATGGTTTTCCCAGAATTGGTACAGATCAATTCAATCTTGTTTTCTCTGCTATACTCCCCTTTTTCCATTTGCTAAATTAGCTTTATCATATCTTTAGAGAAAAATTCAGACATTTTTTCTAAATTCTAGTTACCGCACTAATCCATAAGGAAAGAAACTTTTTTATCAGAAAGATCCGCAATGTTGCACATTGCAGGCCAAGTGTTTAGACATCTGTCTAAAATACAATTGTTAGTAGTAATATTTATACTTTCACCATTATATACTTTCCATCTAACAATTGGTTTTAGATAATTGATTCCTTCTTTTATGATTTTCCAAGATGATGAAGATCCTCTCTTTATTCCTTCCTCCCATATTTTGTCACCATATTTTCTTTTGAGAATTTTATAGAGCAAAGAATCTTTATTCTGTAAATACATCCACGCCATTCTCGATCTTAAAGGTCCCTGTCTTTCCGAAGCTCCTTGGATGCCAAACCTGTTAAGATAGTTGCTATTTGCATGCTTTAAATTTTGGTAACTTGTATAGTTTTGATGATTCCAAACATTATTGTTCAAATGCATAGTTATCTCCTAACAATTTTAGAAGAATTGTATTTGCTCTTGTGTGTACTAACATTTCAGGAAAATTAAACTCCAGACTACGATGACTTCAAATCAAATTCAGCATGAGATACTTTATAAAATTTGAAGCTTGCACTTTTCTTTGAAATTAAATTGAAAGAGAGTGATTGTAATTTGAGTGAATAAAAACATACACACACATAAGGAGATCATATAAAATTTATACTGATCGTACGGGACGATATCAGTTCGTACTTGACGATCAGACAGTTTTCTCCTATTGAGCACATGGAATGAATAGGAACTTGCTTGAAAAATTTTTCTAAGTCCTATTCGTCCAAGACGAAATTAATTAGAATTGAAAACTTGCAGTTTTTTGGGCGGTTTTTCTTGTCTTTTGTATAAATAGTCCAAATTAGACTGCCACCCAATCTTTTTGTCATTTGATCTTCGTGCCTCTTGAGAGAATAGCCAAGGAGAGAGTGGAAGAGAGCATTCAAGGGAGGATTCCTACCACTGGAGCGAGAAGGCTTCACTTGGATTTCAAAGGCAAGAATCTCTACTTGTGAATTGGGATTACTTCACTCTTTTCTTTCTTCCTTCTAGATTCTTGTGAGAAGATCTGTCAAGGAGATCCGGTTCTCTGCCGACACTTGGAGAGTGTGAACAGCCGAAGGGTTCTCTGCCTACACTTGGAAAGTGTGAACAGCCGAAGGGTTCTCTGCCCACACTAGGAGAGTGTGAAAGGACGAAGGGTTCTCTGCCTACACTTGGAGAGTGTGAAAGGACGAAGGGTTCTCTGCCCACACTATGAGAGTGTGAAAGGACGGACGGTTCTCTGCCAACACTGTGGATTGTGAAAAAAGGATGACGGTTCTCTGCCGCATCGGGGAGTGGTGAAAAGAGTGTGTTGTAAAGGCTTCTCCGCCTTGCTGTGGGTGCAAAAGGAGAGTCACTATTGGTATTAGTGCAATACTCAGAGGGTGCCTCTGGGGAGTGGATGTAGGTCTGGTTTTAGACCGAACCACTATAAATCTGGTGTCATTTACTTTACTGTCTTTACGTTTCCGCATTTTAATTCTTAGTCTTAAAAACTCTGTGGTTGAAAAACTTTTTCTACAAAACTTAAAAGAAACAATTTTTATTTCGGTTCAACATAATTTTAATAGAGGGCTTAAAATTTTTAAACTACCAATTCACCACCCCTCTTGGCTTAACAACCTAATTACTAGACTCAACAAAACCCACCTAAACTGGTGGGTAGGCAAAGAGTAGTCCAAGTAATGTAATGCATTCCTTAGTTTCCATTTTCTTTGTGCCACAAAAAATTTCTACAAATTTTGTCAATTTTCATCAAAATGCTTTTAGGAATGAGAGATTGTGCTACCTGATAAGAGATCATGTTTGAGTAAGATGTTTTGATAAGGAGAATTCTACCAGCCAGTGATAACCATCTTGCTCCCCAAGAGTTAAGTCTACTCATAGCTTTGTCAATGGTGATATTATAGTCTTCGGCCTTTAGTCTCCTTAATGCCATTTTGATTCCCAAGTAATTGAGTTCCTTGACTTCTTTAAAGCCCATGATTTTGTTTAGTTTGCTTCTTCTTTTTTTGGTGACTTTTTTGCCATATAAAATCATGGATTTTTGGGAGTTAATAGCTTGTCCAGTCCAACCACAGTATTTTTTTAGAGTTTTCTTCAAAGTTCTGGCATTTCTACTATAAGCTTCTGCTACAACCAGAACATCATCCGCAAAAAGCAAATGTGTTATTTTCTCAACATTCGTAGCTAATCTCATCCCCAATTGATCATTTTTTCCATGGAGTGCTTTAGAGAGAAGATCGGAGCATAAGATAAATAAACTCGGTAACATAGGACATCCCTGTCTGAAGCCGCAATGAGCATTGATCCATTTAGTTCTTCTTCCATTAATCACTATAGAGTATTTCGAATTTGAGACACATTGCATTATCAAATGTATCGATTTCTCAGGAAAACCTGTGAGCTTCATAACTTGTTTTAGAGTTTCCAAACACATACTATCATAGGCTTGCTCCATGTCAAGCTTCAAAAGAAAATATCCAGGCTTAGCCACTGATGACTTCATCTTATTTATGATCTCTTGAGCAATGAGTCAGTTATCTGAAATGCTTCTGCCCGGAACAAAAGCTCCTTGGTATTCATATATGACATTTGGGAGGCAGTTTTTAAATCTGTTAAGGATCATACCTGCTGCCATCTTATAGACCGTTTGGCAGAGACAAATTGGTCTGAATTTGGAACATTCTTTGGCATTCTGTATTTTCGGAATCAATACAACTACAGTCTCCTTCCATTGCTCGGGCATCCTTCCTGATTTGAAAAAATCATCAATTGCATTCCAAGTTGCTTCCTCTATAATATTCCAGTAATTCTTGAAAAAATAGGCGTTTGCACCATCATCTCCTGGGGATTTATTGTTGTCCATAATTTTTAGCATAACTTTCAATTCTTCTTTGGTGAAATCAGACTTCAGTATTTTGGCCATGTCTTCATGAATGCACTCAGAAATTTTGAAATTTGGCCAATCCTCCAAATTACAGCAAACGCTCCGTTTGCTCCATTTATTTAAGAAGAATTTCTCCATAATCTCATGGATAGATTCTTGATTTGATTCCAACGATCCATCCTCCCGAGCAATTTGCAATATTTGGTTGCTTCTCTTCTTAGCCGTTGCAAAAGTATGGTAGTATCTAGTGTTCTTTTCACCTTCTTCCATCAATTGGCATTTTGATATTTGTCTCCACCATGTAGAAATTCTAGCCAAATTTGTGTTGAATTCAATAACCTTACTTCTAAGGATAATAAGGTTCTCCTAGCTCAAACCTCCATCTCTTGCTTTTCTATTATGCAACTGCAATATCTCATTCTTTAGAACTTGTATCTTCAAGTTCAGTTCTTTCAACTTATTTTTGCTCCAAAAATAAAGGTTTTTGAGAAAATTTTTAATTTTTCTTTGTAGAATTTCATTTGAACTTCCATAATCATTTTTTCTCCAGGATTTAGCTATGATGCCTTTTTCTGCCTCATACGAACATCATATGTTCTCAAATTTGATTTCTTTATTATTATGCAGTTTTTTATTGTCAATCTGGAGCAGAATTGGACAGTGGTCCGATGATATTCTAGGAAGGTGCTTGACGACTGCATTTGAGAATTCCATTAGATCTTTAGAATTTAACCAAATTCTATCCAACCTCTCCCAAATTCTTGCTAGGCCTTCTTTGTTGTTGCACCAAGTGTAGTTGGGACCATTAAAACCAATGTCATGGTAATCATTATTGGTCATAAACTCCTTCATTTCTTGCAGACCTTGAGAGAATACAAACTTTTTCCCTCCAATCTTCTCATTATTGTTCAATAGACAGTTGAAGTCACCTCCAACTATACACGGCTCTTCACAGTTCATGTTGTCTTATATCAACTTCCAAAGCTTCCTTCTTTCATACAAATTTTTGTCGCCATAGACAATCCAAACTTTGGCCATATTACCTTTGGGAGTTGTAAGGTTGCCTGTAATACATTGCTTAGAAGAATCATTGATTTTGAACGAAGCAGTTCTATATTTCCAAAGTGCTAGGATTCCATCTGAGGTTCCTGAAGCCGCCACATGGTGAAACTCCCAATCATTCCCAACCAGTTTCCTGACATCTTCTCTTCCCAAATTTTCCAATTTAGTTTCTATCAAAATAATGAAAAACATACCATTTTCTCTAATCATATTTCTTAAGTAGTGGGAGGCTTCTTTCTTTTTTGCTCCCCTACAATTCCAAAACATAATTAAAGACATTAAATGGGATGTTGGGTTAA